TGTACCTGTCCTAAGCAAGTACCAGTCCTGAGCAGGTACCAGTCCTGAGCATGTACCAGTCCTGAGCAGATACCAGTCCTGAGCAGGTACCAGTCCTGAGCAGGTACCAGTCCTGAGCATGTACCAGTCCTGAGCAGATACCAGTCCTGAGCAGGTACCAGTCCTGAGCAGGTACCAGTCCTGAGCAGATACCAGTCCTGAGCAGGTACCAGTCCTGAATAAGTACCATTCCTGAGCAGGTAGCAGTCCTGAGCAGGTAGCAGTCCTGAGCAGGTACCAGTCCTGAATAAGTACCAGTTCTGAGCAGGTACCAGTCCTGAATAAGTACCAGTCCTGAGCAGATACCAGTCCTGAATAAGTACCAGTCCTGAGCAGATACCAGTCCTGAGCAGATACCAGTCCTGAGCAGATACCAGTCCTGAGCAGATACCAGTCCTGAGCAGGTACCAGTCCTGAGCAGATACCAGTCCTGAGCAGATACCAGTCTTGAGCAGGTACCTGAGGCTCAACAAAGGGTAAGGTCTAATGTCCCCCCTCTCCTGTGGAAGATTAAATCAAACTCATGTCTGGTTGGATCTGATGCAAACTAATAAAACCATTTGCTTGTCAGAACATGTCCACTTGCTTGTAGTAATAAATGAACCAGTAAATATTAGGTAAATAAAATAACTAACCTGACAATCTGCTCAAATCTTAACACTGCTCTCTCATCCAATTTCTAAAGTGAACTGTTTCACTTTGTAACAAGTTAACTTTGTTTAAACTCACCTGGTATAAACAAATAAAACAAGATCCTGTCCAACAGATGTTTATTTGGTGGACACCTAAGATTAAATTTAATTTTTTTATTCACCTTAGATTGAACCTCTAGAATAAGTCTCTTCCCATACCTCCCTTTAAACTATTTTCTAAGCCTTTGTTATTTTGTCTTTTATATTATTAATTTTTTTACTATTTTTATTCATTACTCCATGAAATTTAATTGTTCTATTTGTGTAATAAATTTCCAAAAAACAACATTGATTTCTTCTTCACTGAGTACTCACTGCTATGGTGTCACACTTTGGTGTGTATCAATCTGATTTCTAAGAGTGAATAAATTATTGATCTGTAAACTCAGTGTAGCAGAATAAATAAATAACTAAATAACTAACTAACTAAATAAATAAATAAATAAATAAAGTGTATCTGTTTTAACTTTAAATATCTTGACTTTATAGTGTGTTCAATAGAATGTAGGCTGAAAAGGATCATATTCAGTTTTTATTTAGATTTTACACAGCGTCCCAACCTGATTGGATTTGGGGTTGTACATGTTATATTTAGAGCTTAGATTATTAATAAATTAGAAAATCTTCAAGCGACTGTTTTTAACTTTGTCATTCTGGGTATTTATAGAATTTTGAGATAAATGACTTCAACCTGTTTTGAAATAAGGCTGTAACAGTAGAAMGTGGAGCTCTGTCAGTATTTTACAGATTTGTTGTACATCTACAACTTCTTCCTCTCTGGAGTTAATCAATGAAGGTCACAGCTACCTGACAAGAGTTCTACAACTCAGTCAGTTTACAGACATGTAGCTAACATCTGATGTGGTGATAGCTAAGGGTCATCCCCATCGACACTCTGACTCTAACACACCATCATCATGTGAGAGGGTACGTGTCTGGAGGGAGGGATGCATTCCTTCAAACAGTCGACACTGACCTTTGAGTTTTCTAAAATGTTCTAACATAAATAATTCTGCTCCCTGTGATTCATTATGTCAAAGGAATGCATGAATTAAAACAAATCTCTGTTCAGTTTTTAAAGATGGAAACATGCTGTATGAGGTTTGAAACATGAAGGCGGGTTTAGTTTCAGAGTGAAGTTGACCTTTGACCTGTTACCTAAACATGGTGACTGTATCATGTGTGAGTCTCACCTGCCAGGTCAGTCAGCTTCTCTGCCCTTTTGTTTTTGGTGATGATGATGCCCACCTGCAAACACAACACACACCTCAGACAGAGGGTCAAAGGTCACACAGAGCTGCCACTATTGACCATTACAATGACGGACATGTTCAGGCCCAGTGTCCAGGGACGGACGACTSTTCTATTTAAGATAATGTGTCAACTCACCGTTTCTCTCAGTATTATAATAATAATTTATTTTATTAACCATTTCTTGACACTCAGACACTGTACAAAACAAGTGATTAAAAACAAGAAGTGCATACAGAACAAACAAGGAAGCTCAACAATGCAATAAAGATTACAAACATAAAGAAATGAATACAATTAGACTGGATTTAAAAGTTGTAGCTTGTGAATGTTTTTTGGAGACCATACAGGAGGGAGCTGCAGAAAGATGTGACGTAACAAGACTACTGACAAGCATGGCAGCTGTATGAGGGGAGAGACATGGATGGAGCTGCTTAATGTTTCTGAGATGACAAGATGCAAGTGAAATTATTAAAATTAAAAAAAAAATTTATGAGTTGGTTGAAATAATATTTTACAGGTTATGTATAAGGCTTGAAAAAATCTATTAACTTTGAACATCCAATCAAATTTTGTTAAGAGGAAAATTATTATAATCTTAAGGGACTAGAGATGTTTGTAAAACCTAAAATTCGAACAAATTTGAGGGATCGATCAGTCCAAGAAACATGATTGTGGAATAATCTAGAAAGTGATTATAAAAAATGCTGGTTCAATGCATTTCTTTAAGAGAATGGTAAAAGTTATTTTGCTAAAGAAATATGAAATGGTATAATGTGTGTTTATAAGAGCTGCTGTTCGAGAAGGAGTTGAAGTTTTTGTTTTGTTTTTGTTACTTAAACATTATTATTGTTTTTCTGAAAAAAGGGAC